TTCCATTTTTCAACAAAGGCGGCGACTTTATCCACAGTGCTCAACTCGCCGCGTAGGGCCTTTCGGCTGTATTCCTCCAACGCCATTGCGTTGTTCTTTATTTTCTCAAACGCAGCTTTGAGTCTTTCATCGCTGAGCTCTCCGGAATCGGGATAGCTGGACATGACGGATAGTCAGGCGTGTTTTTTTTCAGGATAAGAAAAGAGGCCTGCGGCTATGCTTGCGAGCGAGGGGGGTGGGAGAAGCAGAAAAGGCTACAGCTTGAACAAGGACGTGCACAGCCATGTTTTTATAGGCAATGCGAGCTATTGGTACATCAGCATACACATAGCTGTTTTTCCAACTAAAAGCTCGGCAGTCGCGCGCACAGCGACTTTGCGTTTCGGGCCGAACAGCTTCTACTTTGACGCAAAGGGTATTTTTAGGCGCTGAATAGAGCCGCACTTGCCGCTTCGCCAAAACAAACAAAAAATGGAAAGGCATTTTAGGCCGCCAAGCTGTCAGAGCCGGTCAGAGCCGCCAGAGCCAGAGCCATAGTCCCTCCCTTCCCTGATCGCGCTAATTGAATAAGCAGTAACACGGTTCCTTAATGGATCACACGGAGATTACGCAATCTTCAGGGGCCAAAAAACGGTTTTATTTTTTTTCCTTCAAATTTTTTTCCAAAAAAAAATATTTGCAAAAGAAATAAAAAACCGCCTTAGAAAGCGTGAGTGGGACTTCCGTGGATCGAACACGGGACCTTACGATCTTCAGTCGTACGCTCTCCCAATTGAGCTAAAATCCCCCCTCTTCTTGTTAACTATAGACCGTTTAGATTCTACATATACCTACAACGTGAAAAATCATTTACAAAACTCAACTTTACCGGCGATGTACGCTACCGATAACAATATGATTTATATGAGCATGTGCGCGCTGCGTTGCTCTTCTCAACAAGAGCAACTGTAAAGCTGTACGTCTGTTGTAGCACCTGCAATCCGCGAAGACATAAAATCGGCGATTCGGTTCGATCGCGGATAACCCCGCAAATCTTTGGCAAAGTCATAGTCAATCGCTAGCAAATGCGGAAAGAGGACAATCGAAATTTGGGATTCTGCTGCAGCGAAATTTATCCCGTCCACACCTTGTTTCCATTTCTTGTTTCACCTCCCTCATCTGCTTTTTCTTTTGCCGCGCAGGATTGTCGGCTGGCGCATCTGCTTCCCAACTGCATGACCGATGCGGCTGGGACGGCTGTTTCTTTTGGGGTCTGGCCCATGCACGCCTCCAGAATTCCGCATTGTGGTGCGCTGTTTTTCGGACACCAAAGATGGATGCAAAAACAGTAACAGCGAGAAAGAAGGATAACGTTTTTGGCGGGCGTGTTTGATGAAGCGGCAGTTGTCTCCTTGCTTTTCATGTTTTGTGTTCGGCTGGGGCAGATGGCTCGTCACACTTTCTTGGCTGTTTTTTCAATTGCATGGTCTTGTTTTATCCGGCATCCTGCTTTCAACTCAGGCAAGCTGATGACCAGGCCCGGCAGAAGGACACGGCGGGCTTTGCAGTAAGCAGTGTTGCACTTGACGGCCAGTTTTGGATTTGTGGAAAGCTTGCACAGCGTGATACTGTGCTAACGCGTTGTGGAAAAGCAAACCGCTGACTGCATAGTC